CGAGCAGCATGGAAGCTGAAAAAGAGAGGAAACAGATTCTCCCCTAGAGCCTGCAGAAGGCACGCAGCCCTGCCCATGCCTTGATTTTAGCTGAGTGCAAACCCACATTGGACTTGTGACCTCTGAACCTAAGAGAAAACATTCGTGCTGTTTGAGTCACTAAATTTGTGGTAATTTTTTCAACAACAATAGAAAAGTAAGCAGCAGGACCGCATGTTCTATTTGCTTTGTCCTCACTTCACATGGTCTCCCCGCCCTGACAACCCACACCCATAGCTGCTGGTACAGCTGGTACTCAGCATACGGTGGGGGCTCTATGAACCTCCACTGCCTGGGGCGTGCTCCTGCAGAGCTCTGGGTGTCCTCCTCAGCCTCTCCTCCCATTTGCTCTGACCTCAGGAGAAGAAGCCCCCCTCCTGGGCTCTCACCAGCTCCCTAGTATAGCAAGGAGATCAGAGACAGCGACAGAAGGATCAAGGAAAGAGTAGATCTGAAGCTGGATTGTTCCAGCACTTGAATCATGCTCATTTAATTTATACAACTGTGTTATGAGATATGCCCTATGAAATGTTCAACATACAGAGTGGTATTCAAACCCCATCAAGCCCTCCCCCCACCCGCCCTTGCTTGCCTTTCCAGTACTTTTTCTTACTTTGCACTGCCACATCCTTATGCTCCTGAAGCCCTGAGCTACTTCTAAGTCCCCACACACATTTGATCACGCTATTCCCCCTGCTGGGGATGCCCAGCTAAGTCCTTAGATGCAGATAAGATATCTCCTCCTCCAGGGAGCCCTCTCTGACTACTATCTGAGTAGCTTACAGCTCCTTTGCCCATCCACAGATCCTGTGTCTGCTTCTGTTGTTGCTCTCACTGTTATTGGATCCCTTCAGTTCTCCTCACTGTCCTGCTCTGCCCAGGGAGAGGATGGAGCTACCTACCACCCATGCTGCCTCTGGCCCTGACAGAGGCAGAGGGCACACTTTTGCCCCAACCCATCATCCTGTATTTGCTCCTCCCCATGGGGGAGGGGGTGGGCGGGCAGGGCAATCTGATAGTCAGAGCTCGGGCCACATTTCACTGGTGGGCAGGGCCCAGTGTTGAAAGGTCACCTCATGATCTCGGCCTATCTGTTACTGGGTGAAAAGGACAACTGGTCATTCTCTCTCTTGGTCCAGCTCCTCATCCAAGGGTCTTTGGTAGAAGTGTACTCTTAGATTCAAGAGGAAAAAATTTAGATACTACAGGTTTTACTTTCACCTTCTGACCTTTACTTCTACCAATGTAGTGGTACATTCTCCACTACAGCTCTTGCCTAGGTATTAGTGTACAACTGGGGCATTGGTTCCCATCCCATCTTAAATATACTCCCTCAATCAGAAGCCTCAGATGGAACCCAAAATCTCAATCATCCACACTGATTTATAACTGCTCGTGCAGAATGCACACCATTGCATAGGTAAGAGGACTTGTTAGCATGACTCCTCGAGACAGCAGAGAAAATGATCCCTATTCTGGTTCCCAACCCTGAGTTCAAGAATGCTCTAGAATTGGGCTGTACTTGCCCTGAAAGTGTGAAAGTGCTGGCTGAGGAGTTCATTTCTGTGATTCTATTTTTATGTCATAAAGCTCTGAGATTGGTGATGATACCTGACTCGGGTGAGGTGGTCTCAGGCAAGTGTATGGTTGCTCAAGCCATGGCTGGATGGCTGGATGTGTAGCTGAATAAGTGGGTCAGAGGGTGGATGGAAGGGTGGGTGAAAGGATGTAGCAATGGCTGAGCAGATGGATCACTGGATGGATCAGTCAATAGACGGCGTAGCCTGAAGGGAGACATTAAGGGTCCCAGAAGGTCTGGTCTGACCCGCACATATTCAGATATTGTTACCTATAACTGTGTACTCCGTGCTAAAATTTTAGGCCAGGAATCTGCCCCTTATCTATTTTAGAATTGTCACTAATTTCACTGCTATAGATCCTAACTGCTGACATTTTGAACATAGTTTCAATAAATAATCTCCAAATGATCTAGTGACACCATATCTTATCTTTCTGACAACCTGTACTGACTACCAACCTTTGCCAATATACAGGTTATATATGACACCTCATATATACCACCTCAAATTCTCTCTGCCCAATCTGTCTCTGGGGTCGAGCCCATTGGTTCCTTCTCAGCCACCACTGACCAATCAACTCTGCTGGGCTGTAGTCAGCTTCAGGCACACACAAACCCTACAGGGTGGCTGTTTGCTGCAGACCTCAGCCAGGCACCAGGCAAGCGCAAATTACAATTTCAGGGCCCATCAGTGCAGCTCAGAGCTAAACCTTGACCATGAAAACAATGGATACATTCTAACCCTTTCCTCTTTCTGCAAGAGGGTCTTGAGATTAAGCCTTCAGTTGCACTTGATCCTAGGGAGTCACTAGCTCAAGGACATGCCTCCTTCCCTGCTTCGCTCCCCTGTCCTCTCACTCCTGCCTCCCTGGATGCACTCCCCAGTAAAGCACTAACACAGAAATGTCTGCTTTGGGGAGAACCCAGACCTGATTACTGCTTTACTGATTACTATTTACACAACATGACTTTGGTTATATACAAGACTTTTAAACCTAATTAGAGGTTCAGCCTATTTAGCATCTCCCTCCCACACCAGACTGTGCTAGTCACTCAAGTATCCCCAACACTGAGTAGAATGCTGGAATTCTTTACCACACTCCATTGTTCTCTTACACTTTTCCATCATATTTAACCATGTTGGAGAAGTTCTCATCCTGGGTTCTTCTGCTGTATGTGGTTTTCAAATTCAATACCATTTTCTTACAGAGGGCTTTTTTTTTTTTTTTTTTTTTTTTTGTCCTAGCTTTTGCAGAACTCAAAAGAACAAAATTAGGGCCTCCCTGGTGGTGCAGGCAGTTGAGCGTCACACTGTGAAGCTGTCTGCAGCATCTGCAGCGTGGGTTTGATCCCAGCCGCCGGCGAGAATCCCACATGGCATGGCAGACCTCTTCCTGTCTTGCCTGCTGCTCCCCTCAGCAGTGTATTTCATTAGTCTGCCTGTTCTGTTCCCTGCTCTGTCTCTGCTGAATCCTCTCACCCTCCTGCACATCTGGCCTGTACCCCAGTTCTTGTATAAATAAATAAATCTTAAAAAAAAAAAAGCAAAATTATAAATCAATAAAGCCTTCTGTGGCAAGCAGAAAAATGGTGCCCAAAAGATATCTATATCCGGATCCTTGGAGTCTGTAAACATTTCCTCATTTTGTGAAACCTGTGCAGGTATGATTAAGGCTCTTGAGATGGGGAGATTATCCTGGATTTTCTGAGCGCACTCTAAATGCAATCATATGTATCCTTATAAGACCAGAGGTTGATTTCACACTCACAGAGGAGAGTGCAATGTGATGACGGAGCAGAGAGAGACTTGAATATGTTGGCCTTGAAGACAGAGTGATGCGGCCACAAGTCAGGGATGCCAGCAGCCACCAGAAGCTGGACTTCTTCCTGAGAGCCTCCAGAAGGAGTCTGACTACTAACACCTTGATTTCACCTCGGTGATACTATTTCAGATTTCTGGATTCCAGAATTATGAGAATCAACTTCTGCTGTTTGAAGCCACTTAGCTTGTGTAATCATCACAGCACCACAGGAAACTAGCACAGCTTCTCCTTAAAATGGACCCTCCTCCATCACCACCTTGGCAGTTCCTGAATGCAGTCTGTCTTGTTATAGCGCTTCTAATTCCCACATGATTATTGTTAACTTGAAGCTTGCTTTCTTTAAATTGTTTCTAGTGATATTCAGAAGTCTGGTGTTTAACCAAAGCAACACCCAAACAGCAACCATAAACTAGATCTTGTTGTGAACAGTAATAATAAACTCAATCTCTGTTAGGAGATCTAACCTGACCATCTAAGATCTTCCCACTCCTACTCGCTTCAAGCCCATTGCATCCAACAGGCCAGCATTTCTCAAAACGTGGCCCAAGGATCCCTGCATTGAATCACCAGAGATGCTCATTTAAAATATAAAGTCCAGGACTCTCCTCAAATTTACTGAACAACAAAATCATGAGTTAGGTGCAGAAATTTGCACTTTTGACAAACATCCCAGGTGATTCTTAGCACACTGACTTTGGAGAAAGAGGTCAGGACTAGTACTTTCTTCTGTGGCTCAGTGGTAAGACCGCTGCCTCTGGCCCAGGGGCTGATCTTATCCAGAGGAAGCCACTGTCACAGCCCCAGACTGGATGCCTGTGATGTATTCCACGCTGAGCTTATATAAGAGCCAAAACAGTGTTGTGCCTCAGACGTTCATACTGCAAAACAGCTGCAAAGGTGCTCAGAGAGCTGGGGACCACAAATTCTTTAGGAAACATGAGTCACCATTAGGTAATTCATGGCAATTTAATTTTTTAATTAAAAGACCTTCACTAAACAGTAAAAGCTTACAAATGCATGTACCTTTGATCTTGCAATTCCACTTGTGGGAAGTTATCAGACAGATATACTTCACACTTGTACATATGTACAAGATAATCCACTGCAGAGCTCACTGTAATAGCAAAAGATTGGAAATAATCCAAATTTCATCATGGTGGAACTGATGAAATAAATCACAGCACAGTATGCAGTTAAAAATGATGAAGAAACTATATATGCAGATACGGAAATGTCTCCAAGATAGATTGTTAAGAGGAAATCAAGGTGCAGAACACATGTATAATACGTTACCTCTTGTGTATGAAAAGGGAGTAATAAGAATCCACACTCCCACTTGGTTGCATGTTCATAAAGAACTGGAAGTACATACGAGAACAATGGTTAACCTCTGGGGCAGGAGATGCAAACTCATGAGATGGGGAAGAAGAACGGGAGGGAAACTTTGCCACTTTTCAACTTTTCACTACATATATAAAATGATACTTTGGGGTCTGGAACCATGTGAATGTATTGTTTATTAAAAAAAAAAAAACTTAAACATTTATTGTGGTCCTCAGAATAAACAATCTGGCCTCATTCTCCATGCCTGCAGTCGTAGGTGTCCATAGGGGCTCCTCAAATGGGATGCATGCTGTGGAGGCTGCTGCCAGGCCAACAATTGCCCTGGTTAGACTTGGTGTTCCAGACCAGAAAGAAGATTTCCACAGTTCAAATGACAGTGTGAAGACGTCTTGAGTTTCTGACTGAGGAGAATCAGTTCCACAAGGGTTCTAGGCTTTGGGTCCATCGTGCACTGGACCAAGAGCACAAGGCAGGAGGGACCCAGGGCTGCCTAGTACTGAGTACCCAGTACTCTAGTACCGAGGCATCAGCTGTTCCCGACTCACAAGGGAAGAGCCATGGTAGCGATCCCGAGTAGCGAAGTCTGTGTTTTCCTGGGTGAGCTGAGTCATCTCCATGTTAACCCTAGCCAGCGATGGTGCCAAAATGATCTGTTCTTGGGGGGATCGCAAGCTCCTTTGGTGAGAGAAACACAGAAGATGATCAGAAGCAAGAAACAAGTGCTGACCAGTGGAGAAGAGCCTTCTCTGGACAGAGAAATTATTTGCAAAAAATGTCAGTGTGCTAATTATTTTGTGTTTGTTATTTAATATGTGTTTCAATAGCATAAGTCTTGAAAGCTGTATGTACAATAGTTTATAATCCAAAGTATGACAAATAGTAAATCTGAAAATAAGGAGAAACAGATTTAACTTTCTTTAGTAGAAATGTGTAACAGTACAAAGATAACTGTCCAAATGGTATTGTATGAGGCTCTACAATTTCTCTTTTGCTTTTTTGTCAAATTAAATGATGAAATAGAAGGTCTAGAAAATTGAGAGGAGCACAAGGAGAAAGCCTCTATTTAGTTCAATGCAAAGAAAACTGCAGTAATGATATCCAATGCTAAGGTCTTCAGAGCAATCAGCTGTGCAAGGTAAATTGCAAAGGCTTTTGACATGAAACTGTTCTGAAGATAAAGAGCCAGTCCCCACATGGACTCCATTGTCACTTGGACAGTTCGAGTTGAAATAAATTGGCAAAGAAAAATGTTAGGGATACATGAGGCAAGTGCTAGAGGCAGAAGGAGGAAGGAAAGACTAGACTGGCAGGCAGGGAATCTACAGAAGAAGGCCCAGTCACAGTCTCAGGCAAAACCTCTTCACCTCCTTGACCTCGTCTCATCTTCCCAGGTCCTTCCTGGTTCCACCATCTATGTTAGATTCTTCAATCATAACCTAAGTATGGATTTCCTCTTAAAAATTTTACTCTTGGGCCTCCCTGGGTGGCGCAGTGGTTGAGTGCTGGGCTGCGAAGCTGCCCACAGCCTCTGCAGCGCCAGTTAGATCCCCAGCCACCAGCGAGGGTCCCACATGGCATGACAGACCTCTCCTGTTGCGCCCGCTGCTCCCCTCAGCAGTGTATTTTGTCGGTCTGCCTGTTCTGTCCCCCACTCTGGCTCTGGTGAATTCTCTCACCCTCCCATGCTTCTGACTGTACCTAGTGCTTGTATAAATAAATAAATGAATCTTTAAAAAAAAAAGAAATTTTACTCTCAAAGAAGCATCTGCTTGACAAGTTTCAATTGTTTAAATAAGGTACACGTTGGATAGTTGCTTTTCAAAAAAGGTAGAAAGCTGATGTTAGAAATTTGTGAAACTTAAGCAGGAAGCTTCAGCTGACTCTGGCCAAATGTATAGTTGCTGAAGTTCAAATCACATGACTAAGGCCTTGCAATCACTTTATAAGAACATGTCTAAATTAGATAAGTTGAGGTTTTCTCAGAAATTAATTAATTTCTCTAAACGTTGAATCTGTAAAATGTAAGGTTAGAAAATGACAAATATGCTCACCAGTCAACATACAGAAGTGTTTTCACCAGTGCATTTTGCTTTAGGTGAAGCCATGATATTTTTCTAAATTCAGGGAAATAAAATACTTCACTTTCTAGTCTAGAAGGGCCCAAGAATTCCCAGCTGGGTAGTTGCTAGGATTTCAGGAAAGAAAGCCCTCTCAAGGTAAGGTTTCACAAAGTTCTGAGAATTAGAGGTGTAATAGAAGAGGTAACAGTCACATGTCTTTGCCCAAACACACTCTACAATATTCTTTTTTAGTTTTGAAGAACACCTGGGGCTCTAGTTGTGAAAAAATCCTCAAAACTGAAAAATAGAAAACACAGCTATCAATTTCTACTTTTAAGCAAATCACCATTTCTTGGTCTTTTCACCCTCCTGAACAGCCACCACAAAATATTGTTCAGTAGCCATGGTGAGGACAGGAAGTTTGGTGTTGACTTAGCTGAGGCCTCTGCTGATTGCTCCACAAGCCCACAGAACTATGAATAGCATGGACTGAGTTCTATTCCAACCAAAGTACTATCCTTTTCTAAGAATAATCTCTTCCTAATACATTTTCTTTCCACATAGTACTACAGTGACCTTGCAGGTGAAATTCCAGGAATTCAGACAGTAACATAAGGAATAGTAACCTCCCAAGGCCATTTGCAGATTTTAAAACCGGAAATACCTAAAAATTATTCCTGTAAATTAGGTAAGGCCACATGCCCTCATCATACACTACTCATAGCTCCAGAATCTGTAGGCAGCTTCTATGCAGAATCTATTTCCATAAACTTGGCTTTCCCTCAGAAAGAGGTGGTAGAGAAAAAGAGATGAGTGCTTGTGTGCTGTGACCTGAGTTGCTGGCTTTGAGCCTCAGACAGGAAGAGAAGCAGAGGTGACCCCACCCATCCTACAGCTCCACACACACTGTCAGCCCAGCTTCCAGACAGACGGCAGGGAGTTCTGCCCCGCAGACCACCCTCCCTCAGCCCACTCCCTGTTGGTCTCCCAGGCTCTAGCACCAAGCTTCATTTCTTACACCAACTCGAATAGATTGGTTGTGCTAAAGACTTGTCTTAAAAAGAATTATTGGGAGGGAGGATGGGGAATTATTGTTCAGTGTGTGCAGAGAGAGTTTCAGGTTTGCAAGATGAAGAACTCTGCAGACACATGTTCCCACAACATTAACAGACTTAATGCCACTGAATTGTACACTTAACATGGTTAAGATGGTAAATTTTATGTTATTTGTATTTCACCACAATGAACAAAATGGGGCAGGAGATGGGGGTGGTTCTGAACTTACATCTGGGATCAATAATCTCATAATCCATTAACAATGGATTATGGGAAAGGGTCTCATAATACATTAACAATGTTAGGCTGGAAGGTGGAAATATTGGCAAGTGCAACCCAGACGTCTAAAGTTTCAAAACCAAGCCAACAAAATGAAACCAAATAAATGTATGCCTGGATTCTGCCTAGATCTTTTTAGCCTGCAGCTTTGGCGCCCCACTGATATTAAAAAGGGAGGGAAATAATTTCTCAGAGTCCTGAGGCTTTCAAAGGTGAGGGCACATTGGCCCCACAAGGGTGAGATGAAAGAAAGAGATAAGGGCACTCACGGAATCTTACCTTCCCAATGAGATCTTGTCCTATTTCTCAGGAAAGTTTGCTCTTCCCTCTCCCTGTGTACCTCATTGCAGAGGTCCCAACTCCATGACCTCCTCTCTACTTGGCCTCTGTACTTAGGCCAATATAGTCATGTCCATTACCACTGACTTGAAAGAATGGGAGTCCTTTGGGCGCCAATCTTGTATATGATTATGTATTGATGTAAGTGTCTTGGACTATGAGCTCAGTGAGACAAGTTCTCTTGATTCATCACCCCACCATCAGATTCTAAAGAAAGCCTCTGCTCACCATTCCTGACAACAAGCAGGGAAGAGCACATGAGCCAGAGAAAGTTTCTGATGAGCTAAGGCTGGGAGGTTGGATGGTGGAATACAATGAAAAGCAGAGTCAGTCTGAGTTTCCCTGAGCTTCTCAACTGCAGATTCACACATCACAATTCCAAGTCCACCTAGGAATGGGATCCCCCTTAGTACTCCCAACCACCCTTGTATTCGCCCCAGATTAGCACATACCTGCAGGAGGGAATCAGAAGCGACCTCATCCACCTGAAAAAGCTGAAGTCAGAGGCTGATCCTAGAGGGAAGACATACACATAAATATTTATGGAGGCTCTACATATGTATCTAGAATCCCAGTTTTAATAAACTTAATATATATCCGCTGATATACACAGAATTAGCACAATTTTTTTTCCTTTTTCAATCTAAGTGAACAACATTCATTGTACTACTCCTTGACGGCAGCCTGTAGGGACTTTGTACCTGTAGGTACTTTTCAAAAGCTATTCCTAACCTTCAATATCACAAGAAAAAAAAATGAGTGTGATGTTACAGAGAAAAAAGCAGAGGGCTCACTAACTTCAGTCATAGGAATTTTTAAAATGTTGATATTATTTTCTTCCTAGATTCAAACTGATGAGTGTTAAATATTTGTCTAAAATCTACTAGACCACTCACTTTTTGAAAATAGGAAAAGCATCTTTTTTCATCTTGTGACCTTCACAGTACAACACCCCAGGATCTGACACTTAGGAAGTTTTCCCAGGTGTTAAATAAAACAAATAGCTCAGCATGTAGAATCTAAAGCTGAAATAAGATTGTTGATGATACTGGCCAAATAATCTGACATCAGACACACTGATTAGAATAGGGATTATCAACATTTTTTTAAACCAACACCCCCCCACTCTTTGGCATGGGTTAAAAAAAATTCACATAATAAACTATATAGAACTTTGGAAAACCCAGTCAAATGTCATTTATAAAATCTTATGAAATGCTTTTCCAGTTAGATATACTCCACTCACTCACTATATATTTTATCTATCATATCATATAAATATTTAGAATCTTGGCTAATGTTAACAGTATTCCGCTAATAATATGTATTTACTCACTCTGATTTGGTTCTTATGGTTCAAGGAAAGACAAATTTTAGATTTGTACTAACATCTGCAATTGCAAAGAGAAGTTCTCTAATTCATTTTGACATTGTCAAAAGAAAAAAAAAAGAAAAAAAAACTACTTAGTTGTAATCATTTTGATTCTAAATTATCTAAATTTTAGATGTAAATTGGCCTAAAATTTGATGTTATACTTTCCTGTGAATAAGTTTCTGGGGAATATTTAAATGTCTTAAGATCAAATTAACTTGTAAGAAATTCAGAAGCAATCATTGATATAATCACTGTCAGTTAAATTATATTCTATCCATTAAATTATCTGATATAAAGATCTCTTAGCATGAATTTTTCTACAGCATTATTTTTAGTGTAAATATGACTTAAAGTGTTTACAATGCATTTCTTTTAAATATATACATCAGGGCCTCCCCGGTGGCGCAGCGGTTGAGCTCTGGGTTGCGAAGCTGCCCGCAGCCACTGCAGCACCGGTTCGATCCCTGGCTGCTCCCCGGCCACCAGAGGAGGGTCCCACATGGAGTGCAGACCTCTCCTGCCGCCCACTGCTCCCCTCAGCAGTGTACCTCGGTCCTTCTGCCTGCTCTGCTGCCCGCTCTGGCTCTGGTGAATTCTATCACCCTCCCGCGCTTCTGACTGTACCCAGTGTTTGTATAAATAAATAAATAAATCTTACCCAAAAAAAAAAAAAAAAACCTTTAAAAAAAATAAACAAATATATACATCAGACTATTCTAATTCTGAACAATTGCTATAGACCATCTAATTTAGTTAGGTCTGGGAACTTACTTTCTTTTAAGTTGGGGCATCACAGTATTTTGTTGAAAATGGCCCTTACAAGCATTTTTAAACACTTTTATTATTGAAGGATAACTGGAATATAATTTCAGAATATTAATTATATTTTCTTTTATTCTTGATGCTCTGGCATTTGGGGTCTTGATCCTGAAGATGCTAACTGTTAGAGAGCTAACACCTCTGGTATATAGACCAAGAAATCCAGAGCACACATTCCCAACCATCTCCTTGATCAAATTCTTACACACCAATTCAATATTCCCCTGCACTAAATCTCTCATGGCCAGGCAATGGACAACTAGAGACTCTCCCTGTAGTCCAAAGCCTGCTGAAATTATTCAAACTGTCCAATCCCAAACCTACTGAGCTATTTACTTGCCTCACTCATTCCCTTTCCATTAACAACCCATTAACAGCTCCCCTCTTTCTCTTGTCTCCAGACCAAGCCTGGTCCTCCATATGGCCTTGTGTAGCATGCCTGCTCCATGCCTTCAGTTTCTAGAGCATCACTGTGACAATCATTTCTGTGTATATTACCATAACTGATTAAAACAATCCCAAGTATATTTTTTAGAACAAATTACATGCACTTAAAGTATCCAGTTTGGTGAGGTTTGACATAGGTATACACTTAAAACCATCACCAAAAACAAGATAATAACCATATCCATCACCTCCAAAAGTCACTTCAAGCCACATCGTAAGATCTTCCTCCCACGTCTCTCCATCCCCACCCCATTCAGAGGCAACCACTGATCTGTTGTCATTATAGATTAGTTTGCATTTTCAATAATGATATACATATGAAATAATACACTGTGTACTGTTTTTGTCTTGTTTCTTTAACTTAGCATAATTATTTTGAGACTTATCCCTGTTATTGCATGTATCTATTAATGGCTCATTCTTTTTATTGCTGAATAGTATTCCCTTCTTTAGCAATACTACATTATCTTTATAGAAACACTGTTAATTGACGTTTGGGTTGTTTCTAGATTTTCGTAATTACAAATTATGCTGCTATGAATATTCATGTTCAGGTTTTTGTATGATTATACTGCTTTCAATTCCGTTGGTAAACACTCAGGAGTTCAATAACTATTTCATATAGCAGACATATGTTTAACTTTTAATAAACTGTCAAACTGTTTTTATAAAGTGATTTTATTATTTTACATATCTCCCCAGAAGTATATAATAGTTCTAGTTGTTTCTACATGACTGTATTTTTAATCACTCTAATAAGAGTGTAGTGGTTTTAGTTTGCTTTTCCTAATAATTAATCATGTTGAGCATCTTTTCATGTTCTTATTTGCCATCCATATATGTTCTTTTGTGAAATATACTTAAAATTTTTGCTCATTTTTTATTGCTTCCTTAATTATTGAGTTTGGGAGATTTTAGGTACAAGACCTTCATCAGAAATGATTTGCCAACATTGTTTCACAGTCTATAGCTCACATTTGTGCATTTTTTACCATTGTGCTTGTGAGAGCAACATCTTTAATTGTGATTAAGTTCAATTTATCTATTTTTTTCCTTTAGGTGTTGTATATGAGAAATCTTTGCCTAACGGTCATTAAAGTTTTATCTTCTATTTTTCTCTTAGAAATTTTATATTTTTAGGTTTTACATTTTGTTCTGGAATCATTTTTGAGTTACTTTTACATAGTATGATGTATGGCTAGAAGTATTATTCCAGCATCATTTGCTGAAAAGACTGTTTTCTCCACTAAATTTCCTTTGCACCTTTTTGGAAAATCATTTGACTCATATTAATATAATCACTTCAGCTTTGTCTTGATTCATATTTGCATGATATAGCTTTTCTTACCCTTTTACTTTTTTTTTCTGTCTTTATATTTATTTATTTATTTTAAAGATTTATTTATTTATGCATACAAGAGCTGGGGTAGAGGCCAGAGATGTAGGGGGCGGGTTACAGGACTCACCAGAGACAGAGTGGGGAACAGAACAGGCAGACTGACTGAAATACACTGCTGAGGGGAGCAGCAGGCAAGACAGGAGACGTCTGCTGCTCCATGTGGGTTGCTCCCTGGCCGGCTGCGATTGAACTCGTGCTGCAGAAGCTGCGGATTGCTTCATAGTGTGATGCTTAACCCCTTAAGCCATCAGGGAGGCCCCTGTCTTTATATTTACAGTAGGTTTTTTATGGATAGTATATAGTTAGAACGTGCTCGCTTTTATTCAACCTGACCATTTCTACCATTTCATTGAGAGTGTTTAGGTCATTTACATTTAGTGTTATTACAGATATGGTTAGGTTTAAATAAACCACTTTGCTATTTGTTTTTTGTTTGTCCCATATTTCCTTCATAATCTTTTCCCTCATTTTGGGAACATTTGGATATTTTTTAATTCTATTTTATCTCTTTTACTGGCTTATTAGCTGTAACTTTTTGTTGTATTATTTTAATGTTTGCTTTAGGGTTTGTACTTTAGGGTTACTTGTAGGGTTTAGAGCTTGCAGTATACATTTTTAACTTACCTTGACATGCTATCATACTACTTCAAATATAGTATAAGCAACTTACAGTAGCAGATTTTAATTTCTTCTCTCTGATGCAATACTGTTAGCATCTATTTTATGACTATACATCTTACAAACCTCACAGAAGTTGTTATTTTTCATTTGTTATCATTTATGTGCATGTCATATTTTCCATTATAGACTACAAGCTACATGAAAATGGCATTTAGGCAGCAGCTCTCTTGCCTGCCTGTGTCTATGCAGGCCTTTCTTTTAACAAACCTGTCCCTGCAAACTGGTCCAATCGTTATGGAGAGCTGTGTGGAGATTCCTCAACCTACTAAAGATAGAGCTTCCATATGATCCAGCAATTCCACTCCTAGGTATTTACCCAAAGGACACAAAAACATTAATTCCAAAGGGCACCTGCACCCCTATGTTTATAGCAGCACTACTTACAATAACTAAAGCTATGGAAACAACCCAAATGCCCCAAAATAAATGACTGGCTCAAGAAGATGTGGTATATACACACAATGGACTGTTACTGAGCAATCAAAAAAGATAAACTCATGTCATTTGCAGCAACATGGATGGAACTAGAAGGGATCATGCTCAGTGAAATAAGCCAGAAAGAAAAAGAAAAATACCGGATGGTCTCAGTCATAGCAGGAATTTAGAAAACCTAAATAAGGGACCAGGAAAAAGACTAATTATAATAAAGTAAAACTCAAAATCAACATGGAACTATAAACCAGAGACACACTACGGGGGGGAGGAGACGGGGGAAAAAGGCTTAGGGTCAAAAGAAGGGGGGGTGCAATTGTATGGGGAATATAACCAAAATGAAAATGCATACATTGTGTACAAATGAAAAATGATGTAAGAATTATATAAAATAAAATATTGAGAAAAAAAAACCCTGTCCCTTTCAGAGGCATCTCTTTCTGCCCACTTGTGTCTGCACAAGTGTCCTTTATTCTTCTCTCTCTTTTTATAATAAACCTACCTTTTTATATATATGTGAATATATATAAAAAGATAATGGGATTCACATCTAAGTTAGCGTGAGCATTTAATGCGTGTTTAAAACATTTTTTTTTCCAACAAATACTAAAAGAGAAGAAGGAGGTATGGCGGCAAAATACCAAGGTACTTACCAAGGTGAAGCCCTGGACTAGTCTGGCCAATGTAGAAATACACCATAACAGCAACGCCCATGTTAACCAGAGCATAGACCCACTGGATCACAAACATGATGATGAGGGACCCAACAGCCTGCGGAAATACAGTAAGAAAAGCAAGTCACTTAGTGGTTTTCACATGGTAAAAAAGGCACAAAACAGAGCATTAAGAAACAATAGTCCCTCTCATCAGCCTCGAATTACTGTAGATGTCTGAATGATTGACGTTCACTCATAATTTTTAATATCTCACCTAAGCAGATATTTGAGAAGATGCCCTCCAGAAAGTATGTGTTAATCAAAACTACAGTAAATAGATATATATCTTAGCTTCTTTTTCCACCCCCTATAAGAAACAAATTAGGGTTAATCTACGTTAATTTGCTGTACCAAGGAATTTAGTGACCCACAGGATACGAGAAATAATTATTTTTATAGTAAGTCATTAATTAAAATAAGTGGTTCATTAAATGTAATTTTGTTATATGCGGCCTCACTTAAATTCTAATACAACAGGCAATTAAATTGCACTGCTCCTAATTAAAGTCCTTTCTCTTTCCTCCCCTCCCCATTCTGATAGCATCCATGTATCCTCCTGAATTACGTTTCAAGGAAAATTGAGATCAAGATGAAGTTACTCACTCCCAACAGGGAGATCCAGGGGTTACACATGCGGGTATAGAAAGAAGTTGGTCTCTTCTGGGCATACTGTTCCTGGAGCCCGGACTTCAGGAAAAAATCTGAAAATATAAATAAGCCAATTCCTTGGATACCAGTTAATAACCAAACTGTCTTCTATTTTTATAAGTAAATATAAGATCCTTTTCTCCAATGTTGCAACTCAAGTGAAAGGAAAATTCTAGCACTTGCTCCTGAATAGGGAAGAAAGAAGCATTATGACTAACCCGTCCCCCTTCCCACTTGCCAGTCAAGGGTCTGAGAAAGAAAAGGAAGGGAGAGGCAGAGTTGAGATAGGACCTCAGGGCTTAGGTCCTCGAAGACCCACTGTACATCAGTGCAGCTCTGTCATCCTCTTTCCCAAATGTAAGGTGGAAGAATAGGGGAAAAGGGCATGTGATATTCTTGGCTCCCAAGTGTGACTACTGGGTCTGCTACTTACCTACATCTAGTCTATCAAAAAATCCTATTGATTATACTGTCAAAATATATTCTGAAAGTGACCATTCTTTACTACCTTCGAATGTTCCTATCTTAGGCCAGGTAACTTTCATTGGATTTATTGTAGGCTTCTGTAATAGAGACCAGTGGATATTTGAAGCTCAGTATAACTATGCGACTAAGTTCTCACCCAGAATATGAACTGAAGTGATCAGTGCTACTTCTGCACTAAGGTCTTTGAGAGAGTTGGTATTCCTCTTCTCTGTGTTACGACAATTTTGGATATATTTTATGGTTGTCTGGTTTGGGGTGGTTTCCTTGATATTCATTTCCCTCAAATAAATGTATTAAATCTGGGTAATTATAGATAGATAGATAGATAGATAGATAGATAGATAGATAGATAGATAGATTTATTTATTTATACAAGCACTGGGTACAGTCAGAAGCGTGGGAGGGTGAGAGAATACACCAGAGCCTGAGCAGGGAGCAGAACAGGCAGACTGATGAAGTACACTGCTGAGGGGAGCAGCGGGCACGGCAGGAGAGGTCTGTGCGCCATGTGGGACACTTGCCAGGGGCCGGGGATCGAACCGGCGCTGCAGAGGCTGCAGGCAGCTTTGCAGCTCACTGCTCAACCGCTACGCCACCAGGGAGGCCCAAATCTGGGTAATTATATTTTATATATATTTATATTCTATTGTTTTGCTACATCTCAAAAAATCATTCTTCAGAAAGAGTGAGCCAGAAAGACTTTTAGGTAAGGCAATGTAAAGAAGTAATGAATTCATTCCAGAAGAAATAAATATAAAACTATACAAAGTAATTGAAAACAACCATTCAGCACTCTAGAAATTTACCAAATGGAGACAACAAATTGAGAAGTGGTTTTGGTTTTTTTGTTTGTTTGTTTTCAAAAATAGCTGGGGTTCCTCAGTGAGTCTATGACTTTCTTGCCTGGGCTTTTTGCAGTTCTTACCAACATGGAGCTTGTCAAAAAGGGCAAACTTGTGGGTTGAGCTTTTATAAGCTAAATGTGGTGAACACAGTTGAAAATCCAATGGAGAGAATTCTCAGCTTTGCTAGCCTGAGGATGCAGGCCCAATTAGGGTGAGCAATAAACCAGCCAAAAATTTAATGGGATATTCTATAAAGGGGAGCATCGTAGGACAATGGCTCCCACATTTACCTTGGGGATTGGAAAAATTATGCTCATGCCTTGGAAGACCCAAGAAATATTGTCATAAAGTAAAGGCCAGGGGAGACTGGAGGGTTGGGTACAATTTAGAGTGTTTACCAACCTACACAAGTACCCACTGGCAGAGAGTAGAAGTCATATGGGCTGTGTAGACACTGTAGCAACCTCTAGGAGCAGGGCAAAAATTAAAAATAAAGATTAAAAAATAAGTAAAGACACCAGAAGTCACACACCAGAGGGGAGAGAGATTTCACAGTTTCAATCCAAACAATTTACTAAAAACAAAAACTCAGAAATATACATCAAAACCAAGAGCTGCTACATTTTATTTTTTAAATTGTCCAGTTTTCAACCAAAAATTATGATATGTAAAGAAACAGGAAACTGTTACCCATGCTAGGGGGAAAAAGTAATAAAAATAAACTGCTTGAGTGGCCCACATATTGGCCTTAGCAGACAAAAACTTCAAAGCAGCTATTATAATTATGTTCAAAGAATTAAATAAAAGTACAAGGTCAGTGACTTAGGAAAACTGTGATAACAATGACTTTTAAAGTAGAGAATATCAACAAGAAATATAAATTATAAAAAAGAATAAAGTGAAAATTCTTCAGTTAAAAAGCATAATAACAAAAACGAAAAATTGACTTAATAACAAAAATGAAAAATCTACTTAATAGTAGATTTGAGCAATCAGAAGGAAAAAAGTGAGTGAACTTGAAGATAGATTAATAGAAACTAGATCAACAGAAAGACAGATCAAGAGAAGATCAAAGGAAGACAAATCAACAGAAACTAAAAAACCGGGGAAAGGGTAGACGAAAAAGGAAGCAAGAATAGGAGCCCTGTTCGAAATATCAAGTGAACAAACAAATGTGCCACAGGAGTTTCATCAGGCTAGAAGAGAAAGAAAAGAGCTGAAACACTATATATTTAATGAAATAATGACCCCAAACCTCCCAAATTTGATGAAAAGCTTTCATCAACAAATCCAGAAGAAATGAAGCCACGCCCATCACTTCCAACAATGAGTACATATACCTGACTACCACAGGCCCATTTTTATTTTTATTTATTTTTTTAAAGATTTATTTATTTATTTATACAAGCACTGGGTACAGTCAGAAGCATGGGAGGGTGAGAGAATTTACCAGAGCCAGAGTGGGGAAAACAGAACAGGCAGACAGACGAAATACACTGCTGAGGGGAGCAGTGGACGCTGCAGGAGAGGTCTGTCGCGCCAGGTGGGACCCTCGCCGGCAGCCGGGTATCGAACCGGTGCTGCAGAGGCTTTGGGCAGCTTCGCGGCCCAGTGCTCAACCACTGCGCCACCAGGGGAGGCCCGACAGGCCCATTTTTAATTTAAAGTTTTGACAACTTAACAGATATGTAGTATCTTAAGGTGGTTTAACTTGTGTTCATTCAATCAACACCATGGTCTACTTCATAATTGATATGAGAAGGAATATATACTTTGTGTAGTGGTTAGAGCATGGGTTCTAAAATAAGACAGATCTGGATTCAAATTCTGACTATCTCACATTCTGAGCATTGTCTGTGAAGAAAACACAACACCTGACTCTGAACTTTGATGAGCTAATCCATGTGAGGTGCTTATCTCAGGACTGGGCACATGGGGGACAGGTTCTACTTTTAGCTATAACATTATTTAACAACATAAGTTAGTCTGTTGAATGGACAATGAATGAGTCTGGGACATCATTGATTTTTCAAATGTAAACTGCATATTCAAATCTTTTGACTTCTCTTTAACAGAATCTATATTTTGACCATCTTGTTTTCAGAAATAATATGTTTTAGAAGGTATGCTTTAAACAGTTCTGTTTGTCAGAATAATTGTTTCCTTCTGTGACATTGTGTTGTGCAAATGTTTTTTATTTCTATTTAATCAGATCCTTTTTGGCTTTGATGTTATCTTTAGTAGTTTGACATCTCTCTTGCACAGCTGTTATAAATAAGGAATCTGTGACTTTGTAGGATATAAAATACAGCCTCAAGTTAATGTTTTTTATCCATTTGCTCTCAACATTATTTATTCAATAGTGATTTCTTATTATCTTACTTGTCACAGATTAGGTTTAACTCTATTCTCCTTTCCTGATTGCTGTTTTGATTTTTAGCCAATAATTATTCAGTTGTTCATCAATTTAAACAGCCTTCATTGAGTGTCTGTGGTGTGCCATGTACTGTGTGAGAATTGTGATGAAGACAAGGTGAAAAGTCATAGTTTGTGACCAAAGGAAGCTCACAGTCTAGAGTCAAAGTAATGATATGAATATTCCTTTTCTCTAAGACAAACAGACGAATAGACCTGAAGACAAATGTGTAAATAAATGTGATCTAAATGTATAAAACAATGTGATAAGTAATAATACTAGTGTGAATCAAATGGTAAGTTTACACAAAGGAAATCAGGGAATCCTCAAGGGTCTGAAAAGTCAGATGAATTTTTAACTCTAAGTGAGAGTTTACTGGATAGAGAAAGGGTATTTAAAACAATTTGAGAAGGTAGAATAGCAAGTGTAAAGGCAGGAAAGAATCAAGAACCTGATGTGTTAAGGGCACTAGTTTGAATGTAGCTGGGACATGTATTGGAATGGTTGTCATGAGAAAGCGGCCAGGAAGCCAGCTCAGGGCAGATTTGTGAGGAACCCTGCAAATCACATCAAGGCTCTTGGCCTTCAGACAGAAGGCATCAGATTCCAGCTGAGGTTTCATTGTAAGAGAGACATGATAAGGGCCTCCCTGGTGACGCAAGGGGTTAAGCACTATGAAGCAATCCAAAGCCTCTGCAACACAAGTTCAATCCCCAGCCGGCCAGGGAGCAACCCACATGGAGCAGCAGACCTCTCCTGTCTCACCTGCTGCTCCCTTCAGCAGTGTATTTCAGTCAGTCTGCCTGTTCTGTTCCCCACTCTGTCTCTGGTGAATCCTCTCAGCCCTCACATCTCTGGCCTGTACCCCAGCTCTTTTATGCATAAATAAATAAATCTTTTAAAAAAAAAAGAGAGAGAGAGAGAGACATGATGAGAGTCTTAGATTGGAAAGAGCGTTGAGTAAGTAATGAGGAGGAATAGGATAAGGGAGAATCTGGAGGCCGGAAACTAGTTTGGAGATTTATCAAGAGTCCAGGTGCCAAATGAACAGGGTCTGAACACCAAAGACAGTAAGGATTGAGAAGAGAGAAGGAATGATGGTCAACAATAGTTATGGCATTTTTAAGATTGGACAACTGGGTAGTGACCACTTCATTGACTAAACATTGCAGGCTGACCACACATGTCTCCTAAAAACCCACTGAGAAGGCAGAAAAGGAATTAATTAACTATAAACCCACAAACACAATGAGAATGAGAAAGGAAAGGAAAGACAAAACAAGTCTTGCATGATGGAAAGGTGACA